GGCCACCATATTACAATTCAGTTTCAGGACTGATCAGGCTATAGGACTGCATTTTCTCAGCTATGCCACAGACAGGTCTCTCACTAGCCTTCATTCTCTTAGAATGGCCTCTGCCCTGGTCAGGTAAATGTTACAAAAGTCCTTTAGCTCTGCCAATACCCAAAGGCACCCTACTCTGGCTGTGAGTGAACCTTGGCCCAGAGAAAATCAGCTTCTGTTCCCTGGGTCCGCAAATAGCTCTCCATGGCACCCTACTCTACCAGCATGCCTCATGCCTAAGGGTGCTTTCTTTCTCCATGGACTGGGAAGCATTCTCATAACATCCCCTGCTGGTGTAGTGATTCTGCTGCCTTTGTTTCCATAGCTTCCCTATTGTTTTTTCTCCACCAACTTTTTCCATCATCAGTGTTACAATTCCCTCTCCCTCTGTCTCTTCAGTATAGGAGGTTCTCAGCACTGGGATCCTTGAACCAAAGGACATGCTCCACTGCTGTCTCTTTTTTTGCAGTCTTCAGGTCCCCCTTTCCACTTTTGGATAGCTCATATTAAGCCTAGGAAAATGGCCAAACTGATCAATTCCCTTCTTAATGTTCCATACTCCTTATTTGCATGTCCTCCTCCACCCTAAGATGTTATGCTCCTTATTTACATCATTAGTAAACGATTTCATTTTCTCTTGGGCCATAAACATCTCATCTCCCAACCCATCTTTTTGTGAGAGTTACAAGATTATGGCTAGAAAGGCCACATAGAAATTATGTAATCCAAAAATTAATCTGTGCTATGAACTTCCAAATGACAATATATGTTTTGTTTTTATTTTTTAAAAATAAAATTCATTGTTGTACATTTTCCTCCAAATATTTTGTTTCTTTAAAGTGATTCACCACACCAAAATAACTAAGAATCCTTCCATGGTATGTAAATATAATTTTTTGTTCATCCACTCATTTGTTGACAGGCATTTGTTTTTGCCTTTTGGCTACTGTGAACAATGCAGGAGTAAACAGTTGTGTACATGCATCTGTTTAAGTTCCATTCTTTTGAGCTGGCAGTGACTTGGGGAGCAGAATGCCCAAGAGTGGAAATGCTGGATCATACAGTAGTTTTATGTCTAATTTTTTGACGACCCACCAGATCTCCCTTAGTCAGCTTTTTCACTCTTCTTTTCTCTTGGTTTTTCCTCTCAGTCCACCTGAAGGAAGCCTCTGCAAGTCTGCCTGCACCAACATTGTTTTTGTCAATGCTCCCAATAACCTAATTTCTAAAGCCATTCAACACTTTTTTATCTCCTGTCACTCTTCTGAGGCATGTGTTGCTGTTGACCACTCCCTCCTTCTCCAATTTCTTCCTTTTTTAACCTTGGTAACAACACTTTTACTTGGGTTTTCATAGCCATTCTGGTTACTCTTAATAGCCTTTATCTGGCTATCTCTAAAACACAGCTGAGATTTTTCAGGGTTTCTAAGGGTCCTTATATACCCTCATAGCTTCTGGTTTTACCTCTGTGGAGGCACATACTGGTCTATCAACTTGTCAGTCTTCCTCCACTGGATCTAAAGCTTTATGACAGACAGGCCATTTCTACAAAGGCCTTCATCTTTATGCCCTGTGCTTCACATACTTGGTATTTATTGAGCTCTGATTGATGGTTAATAGTACAGCTTATAACTTATAATCTCCAATCTTTTTTAGATGACACAACAGATAAAATATTTGGTTTTGGGTGGTTGTATTTTGGGCTGATTTTTTTGTTTTTTAAATTCTGTCTTGGTTTTTGTGGTTAGCAGCACAGCTCTATTGACTATTACCAGAGCTTATTTTTTTTCCTACTTCTTAACCATTGTGTCCTCCAAAAGCCTAATGTGATGTCAAAAAGGAAATTAAAAATTTTATAGCTTAACAACATCGGGAGAAATGCCAGCTCAAAAGAATGGAACTTAAACAGATACATGTACACAATTGTTTACTCCAGCATAGTTCACAGTAGCCAAAAGGTGAAAACAACTTAAATGTCTGTCAACAAATGAATGGATAAACAAAATATGATATTTACTTACAATGGAAGGATTCTTATTTTGGTGTGGTCGAAAATAGGGATTGATTCTGAAATGCCCTAATGGGAAATAAGTATGCCAGAGCCTATGTGGCATTCACTGGTGGTGGGTGGACCTGCATTGTAGAGGGTAAAGGAAGAGACTCACTTGGGCTACCATTTTTATGACTTGAGATTCCACTGTAAAAAGACAACAATTAGGTCAGTTTGTCCATGCTGCACACATAGAGTAGATCTTAAGGAAGCACTCTTCACAGCAGCCAGTAAGGAAACTTGCTTGACATCACAATTTAGCAACCCAACCCCTTATCTTTGCCATAAGTCACCACAGGAAGTCACAGATGCCAAGCTCTAAAGTCATCCTTTTCATTGACATGACAGCTATTCATTTCCTCATTTGATTTGATTTTCATGCCAACCCAGGCAGACAGGGCTTGTTGTTGTGCCCATTTTATAGATGAGCAATCCAAGCTCAAAGAGATTTAATGATATAATTGTTCATGGTCAAACAGATGGTGATAGCAAGGATACACAAACACCGAGGTACTCTTTCTGTATTCTATTATTTTTCCACAAAGATTAATGATAGCTGTTTATTTTGCCCTTTTGGAGATAGCTGACCTTTTACTGCAAAAGAAAGTCTCTTGGCAGGCTGTGAAGCACAGTGGTCAGGAAGAGCCAAGCCATTAGCATAATGAACGCTGGCTTCTCCTTTAATTAGCCTTACTGTTTTAGGAGCCCTCGTAGCACAAGGGTTAGGTACTCAGCTGCTAACTGAAGGGGTTAATAGTTTGAGACCATCAGTTGGTGGTTTTTTTAAAATAAAATTTTGTGATTTTAATGAATGTTTACAGGGAAGTTAGATTTTCATTCACTTGTTGCACTTTTTACCCCTCTCAGTTAACTTTTTTTATTTTTTAAAAAAAATTTATTCATTATTGTACAATTTCCTACTTCTCTGCCCCGACCCAGTTCTCTTTGTAATGATAGACCTCTTATTCTGGGCTGTTGTCATACGTATAATGCCTAATCATTTATTCCTTTTAAACAGTTCTTTCTTTCATCTGTTCCAATGCAATGTTCATTATCTACCCACTCTCACCCTATTCTCCTTCCAACCGAAAACCACCAGTTGCTTTCTGGGAGAAAGAACATTCTGCTTTTGTAAAGATTCTGCTTCTGAAAGAATTAATCTAAAGTTCGATTGGTGCAGCCCAAGGTTCAAGCTCTGTCTGCCCTTGCCCCTCCCAGGTGGAGTGTAAAGACATGTTGAAGTGATTAGAGTTGCTTCCACGCTGATCACTTGATTTTGCTCTTCAGAGGCCATTCTAGGAATCAGTGTGCCCAGAAGGAAGAGGAAAGGGGGGCCTAAGTGGGAGATAGCGGACTTCAGGTCAGAGGGCTGTGTCTCTGGGTCAGAAGCCTGACAGAAACACTTAGAGGGCAAGAAGGATGCCACAGAGGGGGGACTGGGAACTCCAGAGGGCAGGACCTGGTGAAGGCAGGGAAGAGAGCCAGCATGTCCTTAAGATGTTTAAGTCAGAGAATGTCCCAACTCTGTGCCTCAACCTGATTCCTTTCTGCCAGTATTCCATGCTTTCATCCCTGTCCAAACGTGCCACCTTCTAATCTGTTCCGATTCACAGCCACCCCAAAGGAGAGAAGAGAACTGACCTGCGGCATTTTCAATGCTGTAATCTTTAGGGAAGCAAATTGCCAGATCAGTCTCTCACATTAGAGCTGCTGATAGGTTCTGACTGCTGCCTTAGGTCAGCAGTCATCCATCTGCTTGCATAAGTCCATTCTTAGTACAACCTGTTCAGTGTGTAATCTTCAGGGAACTGCTCTGGATTTCTTAACAGGGGACTCTCGCTCAAGTAGTAAATCTCCCAACCAAAATCCTGATTTTGAGGCTGAAAAAATTGCTTTTACTTTCTTTTTGGCAGTTGAATTTTAATTTCATTACTATATTAGATTGTGATCCCAAGTATGGCCTTTGTATCACGTCAGTCTGTATTACCTGGGAGAAGTGGTGTTGACTAATACATCTGCCCTGCAACCTTTGACAAAAGACATTAGAGGCTCTGTTTTAGGAGTAAAGAGGTTTATTTGTGTGCTTTTTAGGGGACGGCGGTACTTGAGGTTCTAAATATAAAACCTCCATGATGATCTGCAGTTTGGGATCCACTATGTGGCACACTGACAGGCAATTGAAGCAGACAGAGGGAACTCTGCCATTACAAGTGCGTCAATCTGGCTACCTGCCACCTGAGTTTCATAGGTAAAGGAAAAACACCAAATGGGAGTGGAGTCTCCACGTCCGGAAGGGCAAGTTAAATGAACATTTACCTAGAAGCCATTATACTTTGCAGAGCCACAGACTCTGTCTTTCCAATATGCGTTTAGGCTGAGTTTTAAGAACTGATAAGATTGGGGGAGGAGGATGAAGGAATGGGGGAAGGCTGGAATTTTAAAAAAAATTATTATTTTTGGAATCTCCGGAAACTCTATGAACTTTGATAATTGCAGATAGTTGTAGATGGGCTTCAGGCCTTTTGTTCACAGGGTCGCTGTGAGTCGTGCTCGACTCTAAGACAATCAACAACAACTTTTTAAAGCCAGTTTCTGGGATTGGCCGGAGACAGAACCGTCTGATCACACATTAAAACCTAGTGGTTGAGTGAATGTGTCCAGCTGGTTTCTGTTTCTCAGAGCCTCAGTTTCCCTTCTCTCAGGGAGAGGTTCTGTTTCCACCTGTTGCTAGGTTAGAGGAAAAATAAATTAATCAGCATGTAGAGCTGGATCATGCGCTGCTGCTCAGTTGGAGGAGAGGATGAATTCTTACCGACTCCTATTCGCTCCCAGGACGCTCCTTCTGCTGCCTCGTTTTCCAGGCCCCCTCCCCATCTCCCCCCCCCCCCAACAAATGCGGTCCCTTTAACAGACCGGACCAATCGCCCGCGCATCTCCGCAGCAGCTCCTGGGTGTGCGGGTAGGGGTTGGATTGGCCAGGCCTGGCGTGCGACTTGCTCCGCCCCCACTGCCCTCTGGTTGGTGGCGGCGGCCGCGGGCGCGGGGCGGTTCCGCCGGCGGGGCGGGGCGGCCTGTGCCCGGGGGCGGGCGGGCAGGCGGCGGGACGGCTGCCCAAGCCGGAGCCGAAGCCGGAGCCGCGGCGGCCGTGAAACACGGGCGCCGGCGCAGTACGATGAGGCAGCCAGCCGATCCGGGGTAAGCGCGACCCGGGGCGGCGGGGGCTCCCGCAGCGCAGGCCTGGTTGGGGCGGTCGCACCCCGCGGGGTCTAATGGACTAGCCGGCGGCCGGCGGCCGTTGACGGAGCGTGGAGGTCGTGGGTTGGGGGGGGCCCTCCGGACCCCACCCCGCTGTCACGGCTCAGGGTTGACAGGGACGCGCCCCCCTTAACGCCCCAGGCGAACGCGTTTTAGGGCTGTTTGTGGTGCTTTGGGTGGACCGCGGCCGGAGGTGTCCGCCGCCTCGTCCCCCAGCCTGCCGGCCGCCGGCTGCGGGCTCAGAGCTCGGCCCGGGCAGGAAGGCACCAGCCCCGCGCCAACTGAAGGAAACCCACTTGTCATTTACCAGTGGGGCCCCCGGGCTCCTGCCGGCCCCTCGCTCCAGTCGCAGAACGCTGTCAAGTCGCGAACCGCAGTTACTTTTTCCGCGGATCTTTCCGGGGTCGCCGGCGCCTCGGGGTGCATTCCTCCAAGTCCTGGCCACCGCGGCTGGGCTGGCCGTGGGGTTGTTTGTGTGCTTTAGCAAGGAGGCGACGGCGAGCCGACACGTGGGAGGGGGGCTGGAAGGTTAACAAGTGACATTGGGCTGAGGCCTAACGCCAGGTCCCCGGTCTCGGGGAGCGCGGGGTGTGACGGCGGAGGCTGGGGCCGCCCGGGACGCGGAGACCGAGCGGCAGGACGCGGACACGGAAGGGAACAGCTGACTTCGGTTGCAGCACACTGTGCCCCAGCGCTCGGGTGACGCGGGACACTTGCCCCCTTATGGAGCCGCTGCTGGGAAAACTTGGCCCCTGGATTGATGGTTATTTCAGTCGTCGTTGTTATGGTTACAGAGCATCAAACGTAAGGGCAAAAATCTGTAATCTGTTTGGCCCCTCACCCTGTCTCTAAACCCATGAAGCGCTCTGGTCTGGCACTGTGTTCTGTAAGATATTGTCAGGGGGAGACACCCTGGTTTGTGTGTGTGTGTGTGTTTGCTTTTTGGTTTGTTTTTTTTATAGTTGAAGGGAAAGCTTGATTTCCCTTAGGGCAGGGGTTGTGCCATATTCGAGTTTGAAGTCCCAGCGACTTGACACCTCCCCACCTGATCTGCTGAGGAATTGAAAGCAGAGACTCTTGTCTTTTTTTTTTTTATTTATTTTTGAAGATACACACCACTTTCAGATGTTCTTATTGTTTTCATCAGAAGGTTTAAAGAAGTCATTTCAGGAGGTACTTGAAAGGTGGAAGGGAAAGCACAGTGAAACCATGAATGGCTTTTATGTGAAAACCAGTAAGCAGAAATGGAGAGGAAATGAACTCAAACCCTGTGGGAGAGAAGTGTGTGGGTAGCCTAGAACACAGATAAGAGCTTATCTCATGGAAGATAATGAAAATGTGAAACAGCCCTTTCTCCCTCCCCTTTTTTATTATACTTTGTTTATTTACAAAATTTGAATACATTGTTTTTCAGACCAGATTCTTCCAAATTCCCACATCTTCCTATCAAATTGTACAACCCCACGATTAATCCCCCCATCCTTATCCCTCTGCTTCCGTCTTCCCCCCCCCCCCATCCTCATACTCATTCTACAATAGTGGTTTTATATGATATTTGTCCTTGTGGGACTGAGTTAGTTCATTCAGCATAATGCTCTCCAGTCCTTCCAAAGTTAGGTAATAATTTACAAAATCATTGCTCCTGCATGCTGCATAGTATTCCATTGTGTGAATGTACCATAATTTTTCAGTCCTTTCTATTGTGGTTGGACATCCGGGCTGTTTCCATGTTCTTGCAATGGTGAATAACGCTGCTGTGAACACTGATGTTCAAGAAACAACCCTTTCTATTATCTCTTCTTACTCAAGCCTTTATTTCTCTTCACCTAATACTCGCGGGAATTAGTAGTTGATCTGAACTTCCTGAGGTCATGAGGAGTGAGCTGGATTTTTGCCCTTTTATTCCTGTCACATGTGTGTTAGTGAAGGCGTGGAGGTCCCAGGAAGGAGGGCCAGGGTGAAGAAAATGTGCCTGTGTATTTATCTCCGCTGGTGAGGGGAGAGAGGTGCGTGAGAGGAACATGATCCACATCTGAAGATGGTGGTAATTAAGTTCCCTCATGACTGGCCCAAGAGTGGCTGGGATGGGCCAGAGGGAACAAAGCATTCAGTGAAAGTCTGAGTTGAGTGAGATAGCCCTCAGTGGAGGTGCATTTTGAAGAGAAATAGGGTGATGTGAGGGATGACAAGGCATACGCTGTGCATATTGTCTTTAAAACTTCTGTTTGGGAAGGGTAGGCTTTTAGATAGGATAAATGTATAGGATATTTTGGTTAAAAAATTACACGAACTCATAAAAAATGTTCACTTAACTAGTTTTTATTGAGAGTTGGCTCTGAGATAGAAACTGTACTGGGTGTTGGAAAAAACCCCATGGATTGAGAATTTTTCTTGATGTCTTCATTCCCTCTGAATCAAAGGCTCCTGCCTTCTGAGGATTGTCTGAAGCCAGTGGGGGAAAAAGAGAAGGAACATGAAGAGCATTACTTAATGTAAGGGGAAAAAAAACAGTTCTTGTTAGTTGTTAATGAGTTGACTCGGATTTAGGGCTAAAAAAAATCCCACAAACCCTTCAGACTCATTGTCGTCAAGTCGGAACTGACTCATAACTGACCCTCCACAAGGTTTTCAGAATCTATGAATCACATGGGAGGAGATTGCCCATGTTTCTCCCTCCCAGTCCTTGGTGAATTTGAACCAGCAAATAGGTTTGTCCTTTGGGTGAGTTGTACCACTCCACATGGACTACGTCACCCACCAGAACTCCTGATGCAGGACTATCATAGGGAGCCTTAGTGGCCTACTGGTAAGAAGCTGTGCTGCAGTCCTAAAGGCAAGAGGTTTGAATCCACCATGGGAGGCTAGGCAGTCTCCTCCTGTGTGATTTACTGCCTCTGAGCACTCACTGTAGCATCAGCTGTGGGTTGCTATAACTTGATGGCACACAACAACAGTATAACAATGAAACATTGCAAGATCTCATATCTCCATGATCATTCCTGTGTTTGAGTCCATTATTTTGGCTGTTTTGTCAATCCATCTCATTGAGGATTTCCCTCATTTTCACTGACCACCTGCCCATGTTTTACCATTGTGATATCCTTTAAAAATTGGTCTTTTCTGATGATTTATCCATCATGAGTCCAGAGTAACTTTTCACCATCCTTGGTTCTGACCAAAAGACTGATGTGTTTGTTCTACTGGCTGGCCATAGTGGACACACTTGTCCTTCTTTTATTATCAGATGGAATCTTCAGAGAACTGGCATCTTAGTTATCTGATGATACTATAACAGAGATACCAAAAGGTTTACCAAGTAAACCTGCTTCATCTCTTAGGTGCCACTGGATGTATTCTGACTAATACCCACCCTGTACACAATAGAATGAATCTCAACTGCATTAATTAAGCCCATTGTTGGAATTACGAGGGTCTTCCTCTCTCTCCCTGATCCTTTAATTTCCAAGCATGGTGTCCTTCTGCAGCGACTGGTTGAAGTGTCACCATCCTTACTTGTAAGGAGCATTCTGGCTGCACTTCTCCCAGGATAGACTGACTTGTTCTTGTGGAAGTCCATGGGAAGGTAAAGGACACATACCTTCTTCTCATGTTGGTATTTAGGAGCAGGAAGACCTAATTCAGGATGCAGGTTCCAGGCTTTCTCTCTCTGACAATTCTGAAGAAAGGTCCTTGTTTCTCCTAGCATTTGTGGGACCAACATTCCTTGAAGGTCTCCATATGTCTTGCTCTTCAGGAGCTTCCCATCACAGGCACCAGCATCCCAAAGATGTGCTCCCTTTCTTGGTCATAACTTGCTCATCTTCCTTGGTCATGACTTAGGTCCCTCTCTTTTCTTCCATGAGACTAAAGATATTAAAGCCACTTTCCCGAGGAACTCCCTTTTTATTAGATCTTTACTGTAACCTAATTAAGGGTGTTGTATCCCACCCTAATCCCTTTATAACAGATTGGCTGATCACATCATAGGGAATTACCACATCACACAAATGCTTCTAATCCGGCTTCGTTAACATAGAGGTTGGGATTCACAGCACAGGAGGTGTAATTGCATTATACTGAGGATCATGGCCTAGTTAAATTGACACACAGTTTGAGAGGGACACAATTCAATCCATTAACAACCAGTTTTCTGTGTCAGATTTTATAATAAAATTACCTCTATTCTCCCATTTGTCTTAGTTATCTAGTGCTTCAGTAACGGATACCACAAGTGGATGTCTTTATCAAAAAAGAAATTTATTCTATCACAGTTTAAGAGTCTGGAAGTCTAAATTCAGGATTTGGCTGTGGGGGGTAAGAAGGTCCCCACTCTGCTGAGAGTTGGGGCAAAGTCCTTGTTCCTTTCAGCATCTGCAGGCCACATGTTCTTTGGAGACCTCCGTGAGAAAGATTTTTGTCACATGGATCAGGGTCCAAAAATGACTCGCTCCACTCTTTCTGGTGGTACCCAGTGCCCTTGTTCTCTGTTTCCTGGTCTTTTGTCTCCAGTGAGATAAAAGTTATTACTGGCCACACCCTAGGGAAGTTTCTCTTATATCCCATTAGAGCTCTGAAGGGTTGAAGGGATTTTGGAGTCTACCTTTAATCTTTTGACCACTATTTGGTTTATCAGTTTGTGAGGGATCATTATGTAGCTTCTACATTACATCATTACAGATAAGTATTTGTGGGGGGGGGGACACAATTGGGTCCATAGACTTTTGGTCAGTGTTTCTTAATGACTTTTTATGTTCCTGTTCTTTATGTTTTTTTCTTTTCCCCTGAAAGTTTGTGAAATTCTCCTCCATTCCAGTTTAGTTTCTTCACCCTCGTATCCCTATACTTGGGTCTGTTTTCTCCTCTCGTCCTTATTTCCCCAGAGGGTTCCCTTTGAGAATTGTTGAGGTCACAAGGACTCTTTCGTTTTTGGTGTTTTGTGTTTTTTTTTTTCTTATCCAGAGCAGAGCATGGTTAGTACAGGCAGTCTTTGGGTTATGGATGAAATCTATTCCTGT